TAGCAGTCAGAAATCCTAGATCACAAGAATTTTTAACATTCCAAGTAGTCAATTAAGAAATAAATTAAATTTGAAAAGTTAATATATCAACATACGATAAATCACTGGATAATCTAGAGAAATCTAATGGCTAGAATATGATTCATCACATTGTCAAATCACAGAGGCATGAAAACAATTAGCCCTGACACATTATTGAAGAAAAAAAAACCCATTAAAATCATAATAACAATGTATACAACCAAAAAACAATCAAACCAGATATGTTTCCCCTTAAGTTACATAGCAATCCTCTCCTTACAATGAAATTTTCTCTTAATTTGATCTCCCACGTACAAGCACTTGACTCCTCTACACTTATCTCTCAATCTCATACAAAGTCTCTCACACACACATATAAACACTAAGGAAGTAAAAACAACCAAAAAGATTAGAGAAAATGAGATCAAGCTATGTTCTTTTGAAATTCTCCGTATTTAAGTCATTATATGTAATAGCGCGAGTGAAGGATCATAAACCACAATCCCATGCATTTGGTCATCAGGCCACCTGTACGAGGCGCTAGGGCAATAGTCTGGGCCCAGGGGATCTAGGTCTTGCTCATCACCTTTCCAGGTGCTCCGTCATTCCACTTCAATAGAAAGGGTCTACTTTAGGAGCTTAGGCGTCAGCATGGGAGCATAGGCACTTGGTCTGGGTGAGGGGGTACCTGGACTAGGAGAGCGGGCGCTTGAGGCTTTATCTTCAGGCGCATAGGCACCTAAGACTAGTGCAAGGATGCTCATTTAGCTCTTGGGCACTCCATTTCAGTTTATTTGCTCCTCAATTTGCCTAATCACCGGTATATTGCATAAAATGCTAAAATACCCACGTAAAACATAACAATAATATAGATAAAAATAAAAATCATATAGAAATAACAGTCACACTTGATACACATCTCCCCTTAAAAGCAAGTGGCAAATAAGGTCCCCACTTATACACATGGAATGCACAGCCGTTAGGTAGCCTGGATGGGAACCTAGTAGTTGATAGGGTATCTTACCAGAAAGAGTCTATAAGACCATATTGTTGACACAACCTGCACTCAAAAAACCTTATAAGGTTATAAATCTCAAAGGGTACAGGTACATTAAAAAAATTTATAGAAAGTTATAAGCCTCAGAAGACAAATGTACATTCAAAAAAAATCTCAAAAAATACAAGTAAACTCAAAAAATCTCAAAAGACTATAAGTCTCAGAAGGTATAAGCTGTCCACTTAAAAAAACTCAAAAAACTACAAACATCATAAGGTACAAGTATACTATAAAAAAATCTCAAAAGGCTATAAACCTTAAGAATACATGTATATTAAAAAAAATTCAAAAGGTTAAAAGCCTCAAAAAACTACAATTACATTTCAAAATCTCAAAATGCTACAAGTCTCAGAAGGTACAAATACATCCAAATATCTTAAAAATGCTACAAACCTTGAATGCAAGTTTCTCTTAGAAGGCTTAAGGCCTCAAAAGGCATAAATATATATATTTAAAACTTTAAAAGACACCAGTATCAAGAAATACATAATACTTTTTATACAAAAAGTAAGTGATAAATTTGCCTGCATGTTTTCACTTACTCAAGAACCTAAATATTCATCTTTAAAAACTTAAAAGGTATAAATCTTTAGAAGATTTTGATGCATCATGCTTCCACTAAAGAGCAAAATATAAATTATAATATGTTAGATTTCTAAAAAAAAATTATAATGACTTTATTTTCTCTAGGATAAAATTTTAAGGAGTAAACGCGCTTACAGAAAAATCAAGAGTTCAACTCATATATATAGTATCAAACCCGATGTTTGTACTTGTCATCACAAATATCAACAATATCGGTCTAAATATCGAGTTTGTATAAAGAAGAAAACATGATCAACACATCTTATAAGGAAAGACCAATATTTATTATTATACACCTGAATTATCCCATTTATGAAGAATACATGCCTGAATTTAGGTAGACAACAGCCTAAAAATAATAATTGTTTCAATTCAGCTAGGCAAGAATGGTCTCAATATTGGTAAACAACAGTAGTCTGAATATGAGTAAACAAGAACAACCTAAAAAGATTAGGCAACCACTACTTACAAGGAAGACAATTACAACCTTTGGATAAGGTGTGTCTTTTATCGCCCTCAAGATGGATATTTATAGGTGAAATTTTGAAAAAAAAAAAGGAGAAAATTCAAATTTTGAAATTTCGCTCCCCCAGCAAACCTTTGGGCGCCTGCATGCATGCGCGCCTACATTATGCATACATGCCCATGTTAGAGCTAAAACAATTTTGGAAATAATTCCACAAGCACGAACATTTTTGTTATTGCTCCCACACGCTGACTACATGCACACCGCAACCAGCCTGTCACACACACACCGCAACAAGCCCGCCACACACACGCTAGCTTACTAGAGCCCCAACACATACATGTGTGTGCAGGCCCCCACACACTTGCTAGTGTGCATGACCTTGCAAGCACTCACGCACCCGCTCGCACGCATGTTAGCACATGAGAAGCCAAACGCACACCGCCGCACCCGTGAGCCTTTGCACATGTCGCTACACCTCAACTTGCGCTTGTACTTACCGACACACCCTATTACATCATGGGGCACACCATGTTGTTCACTTGCTCGCTTGCAAGCACGTATATGTGCACCCGGGCATACATGCTTATGCGCCAAGAAGCTAACAAATAACGCCAACTATGACAATAATACTATAATGAAGTTTTTTTTTTTTTCAGAAGTGTCTATTTTATCATTTTTCAACTTTATGGATTCAATTATGGCATCTATGAGTTAATTTGAATAACATGAATTATCAAAGATTCTCATACGAAATTCTAGAACTTTACAATCATGTAGAAACTTTTTCAACGACCTATATATTCAAATGATACAAGCATCAAAGTCCAAAAAATAAAGAGTCAATTGATATATTATTAAGAAATTCTTATCATTAGGCATGAATCTTGATGCATTTTGAGTAAGAAATATTTAAAAATCAAATTCAAGGTCACCTAGGCCTCTAGTTAAACAATTTTATGGTTACATTAATAGTCTCGACAAAAGTCAAGACAAACTTAGTAATGCCAAAATTGATCTAATTCGAGTCTAGGTGGGCACAAATCAATACTTGGAGTGTATTTGAAGGCTTTGGTGCATCAATTCGTAGGCCAAACAATTTAAAATTTAGCAAGCTTATAATCAAATCACACAGACAAGACAAATCTAATGAGTCCAAGATTATCTCATTTTAAGGTTGTTAAGACACCTAAATTTTGAAAAAAATTATCTACATGATCAAGGGAATCAATATGGACCATTTGATGGAGTATTTTAAGATTCTAATTATATTTACCCGAATATCTCTCAAAAACTATAATCATTCTTCATTTGAAGAGTGAATGAGGAAAAAAGATAGTGAGCTAACTACTAAAGCTTAATTCTTGAAATCTTGGTATTTGTCGTCGTTCAACATAATTTATCATCGATCATCATAATTCGTCGCCCGCCACCAAAGATCATTATTGACCACACCAACAATTGCTACAGCAAACTATATATAGCCATTATAGACACCAACTATAGTTCTTGTAACCCATCCATGGCACTTGTAACTAAACTACTATTATAAACTTGTGATCATCAGTTTTTGTAATATCATATTTTTAAATGCAGAAGAAAAGTGAATATCTGTACATTCAATTTTCTAGTTGATTACTTTGATAGGGCCAAGCCACATATTCTTTTCCCTTTCCAGGTTTTTACACATAAAAAATTTGGTTTTCTCATACATCTTTATCGATATGTGTTACAAATTTATGTTGAACTAAAGCATAAGATTTTTGTCGCTGAGAATTTTATAGAATGCAACAATTCTAAATTCAAAGTAAAGATCATTCAAGCCATGTTTTTAACAAGATTATAATCAAATCTAGAAGACAGACTCAATGACATTGAAAATGATCCAATCCGAGTCCAAATAAGTTCATATCAAATACTCGAAATGTTTTCAAAAGTTTGGTGCATCAATTGGAAGACTAAATGATCTCAAGATAAAGCATGCTTATAGTCAAATCGAGCGGCTCGATGAGAGGAAACAAACAAGCTCATGTTCATCTAATTCTAATGTCATTGGGGAACTTAATTATTGAAAAATTTACTTATGATCAAAGAAATTAATGTAGACCGTATAATGTAATTTTTTGAGATCCTAACGAAATTTATCGAGACGCCCCTCTCAAAAATTATAAATAGAACCACATTCTTTACTTAAAGGGAAGATGAGAAGAAAAGAGTGAGTTTTGCTAACTAAAGTATTACTCTTGAAGAGAATGGCATGTGAACGACCATCAACCATTTGTGGCAATTACAGCCACCACCTACAGTTGTTCTAGCTACCAACTTAAGTCTCTACAGCCAACTACAATTGTTGTAGCCACCAATTACAGCTTCTGCGGCCAACTACAACTATTGTAGCTACCAACTTTAACTCTGCAACCAACTACTGCTATTATAGCTGCTAACTATAGTTGTTATAGTCACCAACTATAACTTTTGTAGTAAAGCCACCAACTATAGTTCTTGTAACTCAATTATGATTGTTATAGTTAAACTGCTATTATAAAGTTGTGATTATTCGTTCTTATGATCTCATCTTCCCAAATTGAGGAGAATAGTAGATATTTGTACTTTCAATTTTCTAGTTGTTACTTTGATTAGGCCAAGCTCCGAGGTTTTTTCTGTTCGCAAGATTTTTTCCATGTAAAAAAATTTGATTATCTCTTACATTTGTATCTATGTGTGCTAGAAACTAAAACATAAGATTCTCTGCTTTTGAGAATTTTCTAGTACACAAGTCTTAATATGTAAATGAAGCACAAGGAATCAAGATGAATTATTCTAACATAAAATAAAATAAAATAAAATAAAAATATATCTGAGGTTGCTAACCTGGTGTCTATAAACAAGGAAAGCGAAGATGAAGAATACAAGAACAAAAGGGAGAAGGATGGGAGTAACCACAGCATACACTAGTCCAAGAAGAAAATAAAGTTGCAATGTGGGAAGATTCTCAGGAAGACCAATGCTGCCTGGATCCATGGCCTTATCTCTATCCCTATCTGTTTTGACAAGGAACATGTTTTTCAGATGATATATCACGAGTGGCTTCAACCGAAGAATCTCACCAGCAACTCCAGCCCACCCGTCAACCATTATGTATGTCATAAAGAATGTGGCTTTCATTGGTATGGATACTCCAATAGTTCTTGGAATCCTGCAAGTAATTACATTTAAACAAAAAAAATTATTAAATAAGAAATTAAATGTTACAGCCATATCTGTAAGTGTATCTAGAAAAATCAAATATATCTTGACAGTTGCCCTGATCAAGGTCATATAGTAGTTATAAATAATATGAGTTGCTAACAATATTATAAACATTACACAGGAACACAAATCAGAAAAGTAAAACATTGAAAATATGAGATAATGTCCTGGAGATTGGGAGAAAAATTAGTATGATTAGATAAGAAATCAATAAGGTTATAAACTTATTAAAAAAGTCGCTTGTTTCTGATGTCCCAACTATAAAAAGAAAAAAAACATATCATGATCTAGACATGCTTAAATATCAAGCCACCATGTAAACGGAAGCCCTGGTTTTATGGAATATCACCATTCTGTTAATGTGATATCCAACAAAGATGCAAGACTGCAACACAAGGGAGATTCCTCAAATAAGCACAAAGATTTCAAAGCATCTATTCCTTGGAAGTAAAGTTAGAGATCATTTTATTTCAACATCAGTCCAAATAAATTTTTCATTGGGCAACTCAAAACTTTCATATTTACAAACCTAACACCAAACTGCCCTCATTTCCAATGCAACCACCAAAATCTCAAAAGTAAAATAAAATCAAAGCCTATATTTTCTCTTTGATTAAATCACAACAAAATAGCCTTGAGCTATATGTAAGTTTAGCAAATATGAAAATAGTGTGTGACATATGTGTAATGTTCCCTTTTTTCAATAATGGGTATGATGCACAGGCTACGGATTAAAAAGTGAATAACCCTGTCGAAAAACACAAAAAATTAACTAGCAATAGAATAACAACAAAGTTAAAGATATTATCATGAAAATTGGGAGGAATAATTACTGTGTGGGTGACTGATGAAGAAAATAATACAGTTGTTCAAAGGCAGTTCCTGCTATAATGCTTCCGAGAAATACATTCACCAACATAAAATAATAGTATTTAGAGGCAGCCCTTCTTTCCAGTGCAGAAAGTGACAAGTAACCTTCAACTTTTGACATAATCATCAGAATGGTCGGAAGGATGTATAGAAAGATTTTCAAGGCCAAACCGGGCAGAAAGCCTTGCAAGAATGATTTGATTAAAGTACTGCATTAAAAGCCAAAAAAAATGAATTTAACAAATTTCATTAGTAAAATAATAATTTCCAAATTTTGTAAATATTTAAAATTTTTTAAAACAATTAAATAGTGATGCACAATAAAGTGCTTAAATAGATTATCAAAACTCAAAGGAATATCATGCATATTAATGTAATATAAACACATGCATAAACATCAAGGAAACAAACGCACCCTTCGAATATTTTCACCACCTTGCACATCTGACGCACTTCAAAATTTATTAGCTTCAACAAAGCCTAGATAACTAACTGGATCAAAGGAAAAAGCGAGAATCAGAACCTTTCTTCCTAGTATTATCTTTGCATTCTCCAAATAATATGAGGCATGATTTAAACTCATCCAATAAAGTAATTATGCGTTAAAAATTAGGACGTCTATTAGGCCGTCTGCAATGTTGTATCAAATAACCTGAGAATTATAAATTAAAATTTTGAGGAGAAATTATTTCTCGTTGACAGTTTAACCTCATTTATACTAATCTAGGTACTGGAAAATAAGTTCATAAATAATCAGCAACAATTTAATTAAAAAACTTCAGTACCGTAGACTAGATTGTCAATCTACCAATAGAATATATATGTTATCTTTTGTTTATTTAAAAAAATAAATAAAATAAATAGATAGCAGTCTACAAATTAGGTACTTTTTGCCTATTTATGTGATTCGCATCCTCCTTCATCAGGGTGCCTATAACATGCCAAAGAAACTTTTGCATTATTTGCATGCCGTTTTTAGTAGCATAAGTTGCAATCTAGGTCTTTATTTGATCTAAGTATTCCCCTGCAAACACTTCAAATAGTTCAGGGCAAAAAAGAAAACGACCAAAAACATGAAAAGTTATAAAAAAAATATGGATATTTTACATTGGAGATTTGTCTTACATCAATGGCCACATGGATTCTAATAAGATTTTTAAGTTTTTAATTACAGGAAATGACATTATTTAAACAAAACGGGAAGGGATTTTTACAAACATAGAACATCAAACTATATAAATTACATATTTAGAATAAAAAAGTTAAATATTACTAAAAACGAACGCTAAACTCGTTCTTTTACGTGATTCGAACTTTGTCTATTCCGCCCGCCTCGTTCCCGTCAGTTCTTACGCTGGAAAAAATTCTCCATAAGGCAACAGCTTGATCCTGGCGTAATTCCGATCCTTCTCCTCCGCTTCGCTCGACCTACAGACCTCCGCAACTCCCATCTTTCTCCTGCTCCGTTCGGTCGCGGCTTCTACAGACCTCCGCAACTCCCATCTTTCTCCTGCTCCGCTCTGTCGCGGCTTCTATGGACCTCCGAAACTCCCATATTTCCCTCCTCCGCTTCATTCCCCTCCTACCCAAAA